TTGACTTGGGAGCCTTTAGAGGCTTCAGTGCGAGCCCTGCTTGTGCTAGCTTCTCCGCTGCTGCTGTTCCTGCTCTGAGGTCGCGCGAGCATCCCGAGGGCAAGCCTGGGTTGACTGTTTTTCAGAGTGACAAAGTTCGACGCGACAATGCTGTTTTAGAATTCCTGCTGAGTTTGATTCGGTGCTCCGAAACCAAAGGCTTGCTCTACTTCGTCGAAAACCCTTTGAACAGTTGGATTTGGAAACAGCAGGGTTGGGCTTTCTGGAAACGGGGAACCTCTTGGGACTTCCTGTTCGACTTCTGCGTTTTCGGCACCCCGTGGAAGAGACCGAGCCGAATGCGAAGTAACAGTCAGCTGCAGGGCAAGAGGCTCCGCTGCTCGCGAGACCACCAGCATCAGAGGCTTCGAGGACGCGAACCCCTTTCGGGATGCAGCTGGACGAAGCGGTCTGAACCCTACCCTAACAAGCTCTGTGTTCTGCTGGCTCAGGCAATTTGTCAGGACGCTAAGTGGATCCCAGGACATCGGCCTCTGGATATCGTTCGGTGTGCCAAGTGCTCGGGAGCCCGGTTTGGAGAAGCGAAGACACCTTGGCCTCGGAGGAGGCGCGAACGACCACCTCTGCTCCTTTCCGAGGTCCCGCTCGTTGAGCCTTCGACGGCTGCCCTTCAGAACGCTGTATGGGGAGCTTTTCTGGCTTGGATCGCTTCTGGAGCCGAACCTGCGGCTGCACAAACTGTTATCTCTGTTCCCGAAATCCTGGTCGAGATGTTGTGCTCTTATGGACAGGTGCTCTACAGTCAGGGGAACCCACTTCAGCATTACAGACAGGTGCTAGCCACAGCTCAACGACGTTGTCCTCTTTGCAGACCCTTTATCAGGCCTGCTTGGGAGATGCTGAGCCGCTGGGAGCGGTTGGAGCCTACACGACACCGCCCCCCTCTTCCTGAACCGATCTTCGAAGCAATGCTGAGCCTAGCGATAGCTTGGGGATGGAGGCGATGGGCTGCTTGCACACTTATTTGTTTTGCAGGTTGCTGTCGGATTGGAGAAGTTTTACGCGCGAAGCGCTCGGACCTCTTGCTTCCGTGCGATCTCCTGCGTGACGACCATCGATGTTTTCTGCAGATACGAGAGCCTAAGACACGAGGACGAGGAGCTAGAGTACAGCATGTCACACTTGAACTGAGCTCCGCGACCGAGCGCTTCATCCATGGCGTCTTCTCCACGCTCCCAAGAAACTCTGGATTGTATCATGGGTCCCCTGGCGTCTATCGACGGCGGTGGGATCGCCTTCTGGATACCTTGGGCATCGCCCGAACTCTGCGCCTGACCCCTGGGTCGTTGCGAGGTGGCGGCGCTGTCGCTGCCTACCAAGCAGGAGTGAGCATCGAAAGTTTGCAATGGAGAATGAGGCTGCAACATCAAGCCACGCTTGCCTTTTATCTTCAGGAGGTTGCGGCAGGATCAGTCCTGCCCTCTTTGCCGAAGCACGCCAAGGAGGCCATACAAGCGGCACGATCCGTTTTTTCCGTTCTTTATCGACTCCAGCCCAGCGCTTATTAGCACCGCCCTCCGGGCTGGAACTCTTGCTGAAGGCCGGGCGTTGTGGTGGAATGCCGTAGCTCGCCTGAATCCGGCGGCTCGGGAATCCAACCTTCGTCTTGAAGCGGAGCTGAAAAGACCTGAAGCACGTGAGGTATCAACATGAGATAGCATGTTTATGCCGAACTTGTGCAGCTTTGTGGCCCTCCCGCCTCTCCCGGAATGCCGTAGCTCGCCTGAATCCGGCGGCTCGGGAATCCAACCTTCGTCTTGAAGCGGAGCTGAAAAGACCTGAAGCACGTGAGGTATCAACATGGAAATTAGGTTATGTAAAGACTTTAGGGATTTAGGGAGTCTGCAGGAACTCACGCATTCTGTAAATTCGAGGCATGGAAGCAGTGATTAGAGAATTTAGGGAACTCGACCTCGCGACGTCGCCGGTTGACGTGTCTGTGCAACTGATACTTGTAGTAATATTGATATTATTTTGAAAACTTTGAAAACTATAATACTCATACGAGTACTAATACTTATAGTAATACTACTGGTGAAACTGATAGTATGCTAGTATGAATACTGATGTTCCCAAGAATACTTGAAATCATGTACATTGTATGAATAGTCTTGATGCGAATACTAATATACATACTATAGCTAGTATTATCGCTAGTATGAATATTGGCTATGCATATTCGTGAAATTACTCATTTTTGGAGTACTCATATTCATGCTAAGATTAGCACTAAGGCTAGTGCGAACGTGCATAATAAAATGCTCATGCATGAATGTTAGCATTCGTATTAATATCAGCATTGGTATGTTTTTCAGTAGTACTAGTAACTCATACGAAGTGTAACCTCAAGTTTCATATTCCGACGAATACCAACGCATGTTTTGTTCATACTAATTTTAATTCTACTACTAGTATCTACTCCTAATATTGAAAAAACTGTAGTAATACCAATTTTAGAATTGATGTGAACACGAACTTTAATGTTCTTGCCAATACTAATATGCATAGTAATATTAGTTAGCATTAATGTATAGGAAAACTAATGTTCTTACGAATACTAATAATCATGTTCCCCTTTTATATTCATATAAGAATCGTCATGCCTAGATACGTACTAATGCTAGTACTCATGCTAATACGAGTATTAATACCAATACAAGCATAGGTATGAATATTCCTACGGGTATTTATGCTCATGTTCTTAACAAAATTATTCTCAGTACGAATACCGACATTAATAGTCTCTTTAGAACCATATTGATATTAATATGAGCACTAATACTTCGGCTAGTACGAACATGCATAATACTAGCAAAATTATTTGTGCTCATACAAATATAGAAAGATTATTACATACTCATATTAATATCAATACCAATATGAATTTACAAACATCATATTAATGTCAATATCGTTTTTGTAATGTATACTAAAGAATACATCAGAATAAGGCACAAGGAAATGAATGCATCAGATTGTTAAAAACTCAATGTTTTCATTTACCAATATGTATGGTTATAGTATTATACTAATATACTAATAAATTAATATACTAATATACTGAGAAACTGATATACCAATAGACCATTGTTACTAATATACCAATATACGAGTATACCCAAAATTTTTTTTAATGAATATATATGTTTTGTTTATATACCAATATACTGAATATACACATATGAATACTTATACACATAATGTACTAAGACTAAGTTTTTAAAGCCCAGCCCACGTCTAATATTAATACGAATACTAACACGAACACTAACACTAACACTGCTATAGACATATATTAAATTAAACTGGAGCACTAATACTCATATTAATATTAAGACTAACACTGAGGTTGACACTGACACCAGCATCAGCACTAACAGGAACACTAATCAAACGAACAGTAATATTGGACAGATACCAGCAGCATTGTTAGAACTTCTAAAATTAGTAATGACACAAAACTAATAATAATGCTAACGCTAGCAAAAATATTAAGGTTACTGCTCACAATAATTGAGGTTCAAACTTAGAACAAAATTAAGTCAAGACCAATGTTAACACTGTTTTTTAAGACTGAAACTAATAATAAGACTTTGACAAGATGACAACTCATGTTAATATCAATACCAATATGAATTTACAAACATCATATTAATGTCAATATCGTTTTTGTAATGTATACTAAAGAATACATCAGAATAAGGCACAAGGAAATGAATGCATCAGATTGTTAAAAACTCAATGTTTTCATTTACCAATATGTACGGTCATAGTATTATACTAATATACTAATAAATTAATATATTAATATACTGAGAAACTGATATACCAATAGACCATTGTTACTAATATACCAATATACGAGTATACCCAAAATTTTTTTTAATGAATATATATGTTTGTTTATATACCAATATACTGAATATACACATATGAATACTTATACACATAATGTACTAAGACTAAGTTTTTAAAGCCCAGCCCACGTCTAATATTAATACGAATACTAACACGAACACTAACACTAACACTGCTATAGACATATATTAAATTAAACTGGAGCACTAATACTCATATTAATATTAAGACTAACACTGACGTTGACACTGACACCAGCATCAGCACTAACAGGAAAACTAATCAAACGAACAGTAATATTGGACAGATACCAGCAGCATTGTTAGAACTTCTAAAATTAGTAATGACGCAAAACTAATAATAATGCTAACGCTAGCAAAAGTATTAAGGTTACTACTCACAATAGTTGAGGATAAAACTTAGAACAAAATTAAGTCAAGACCAATGTTAACACTGTTTTTTAAGACTGAAACTAATAATAAGACTTTGACAAGATGACAATATTTAATAAAGGATGAGGCACACAAACTGGACTCTGTCTTTTACCACTCCGACAAGACGCGCCGAGAGTGTAAACGGTGTCCATAAAACTGGACCCTGTTTTTTACCAGTCTGTCAAGAGGCGTCGAGAGTGCAAACTTTGTACGGGAACACAAACACCATCGGTATTTACAGTGGTTTCGGCTCTTATTCATGACGCTGTGAAGACAGTAATGAGCAGGACAATGGCCGAGGTTGGTCCTGGGGGGGGGGGTTACCATATAAATGTATACATGTATATGTATATGTATACGTATATGTCCATGTATATGTATGTATATGTGTATGCATATGTGTATATATATATATATGTATATGTATGTTATACATAGACATATATGCATGTAGTAATACATGAATACCTACCTACCTGCCAACGTACCTGCCTGCCTACCCTATATACATACACACATGCATACATGATGCGGGCACAGGTGTGCTTCGTACAGGAACAGGCACATACACCAACGTAGAACTTCTGCTCATGCACAGGAGGTAACATGTTTGATAGACAAATCCTTCATGCTATGCCGATCCGGCAGGCAAACTTCTTCCCTGGTGAAGGCCTAAGCCTGTCTAACTTTGCTGCAACAATAGTCCGATGGCCGTTTTCTTGAAGCTTCTAGGCTGCTTGCAGCCAGTGTGCAGCAGAGATGTGCTGAGATACTGGCAAAGGACATGGGTAGATTGATCTGAGATCAGCAACCGCTTGGTGTCTTTCGGCTAAGGTCAATCTCTGGCGTGCCGAGGTCTCAGCTTCTGTAGCTGGTTTGGCGGGATCTGGGCAGCGCATGTTCAGAAGTACGAAGGGCTTTGCATGTTATTCCGGCGAGCCACATGGGTCTCGATGTTAAGCTGGTGTGCAAAGTTGTGTCCCGACCATCAGCGTTCGCATCATTCGCATTGCGTGCAGTGACAGTGGCACAGTTGGGAGCACTGGTTGCTTGGACGGTGCCTGAGGATGCTAGAGACTTGCTCAGCGGCAAAGAGGTCTGGCCGCCTGGCCTTCGGCTTGGCTTTCGGAAAGGTTCTGCTTGGTGGCAACTTGAGACTTGAGATAAATGATGATAGTGGTGAGATGGAGAGATCCGTGCGTATCCGTGCTTGACGAGACTTCGCTGTGTGATACATGCGCGCTTTGCATGCACCATCATGCAGCGGCACTCTCCCGAAAGAAGCAATGGCTGTGATTGCAGTTGCTCTGGTGTGTGGGTCGTGAGAAGCTGTTGCAGATGTGCAGGCGGAGCTGCCGATCTTGGTGCCACCACCGGCACATCGAGCAGTTGATCTCGGCCAGGCGGGGTCTTATCTTTAGGCCGCACTGGCAGCAGATTCGGACGTGCGCTCTCATCGTGCGAGCGATGGGCTGCGGGGAACAAGCCTGCACAGCAACAGTTTCTTTCACGGCCGCAAATACGGTGGAGGAATGTTGCAGCAGCCTTTTCTGAGAACGCAGATGTGTTGCCTTTGTGTGGCCATCCCGAGCTGTTCGGGCAGGCGGCCACCACAAAGCCAAGCAGCAAGAAGCGGGGCAGCAGGAGACGGTTCTGGAGGGGACATGGCGATTTTTAGTGACCCTCAATTCCTTCTTTGGCATTCTTCGCAACAGGAGGACTCTGGTGGAAGGCTCGGGATTCGTGCACATTCCGGAGGCTCAGAAGCGTACTGCCCTCAGTCCATGCTCAGAAGTGACTGTTAAACCTTGTCTGCAAACGACGTCCCAGAAATCTATCAAATCGGGGAAGAGGGCTTCATGATGCTTCATGTTGTGAGGCCGTGTGGGATAACATGTATGCACGAGCACATCAGAAGTTCTTTTGTCTTTGAATTCGCAGAACGCGTCACCGCTGCATGCGCGGCGGGGAGACTTCAGGCCACCTGCGATTAGCACATCTTCGACAAGGTTCGCGCCCGGCGGTGGGCACGCAATTACCACGGAAAAGACGTACCTCGTATCGTTTCATCTCTGCAGATACGTCTCTAATCTTAATGTTGTCGTGTGAAATTTCTTTTCGGCATAGGATATTCAAAGCACGACCCGTCGCCAGTCGCCAGCTTTTGCTTCCTTGTTTTGCGTTTTTCAGAGAGCAAAGCGGCTCGAGACGGCCAAAAACTGCCAAAAACTGTGTCGACGGACAGGAGAGTCATTTCAACTTGACAGCGGGTCCGACAGCTGAACGCTTGTTACCTTCTGGTCGTATGGTTTGGACAGAATGAAGCAACGGGGGGAGAGAGAGAGAGAGAGAGAGAGAGAGAGAGAGAGAGAGAGAGAGAGAAGGCTGTCAAGTGCAGTACACGCCCGATTAGCAGAATCAGCGATGTTGACAATCAATCGCAGTCATTGCCGTGGTCGTGGTCTCAACTGGCTTTGCCTCAGCCTGCGGAACACAAGATCATCTCAGTCACCACCCCGTCAGTATTGAAGTTTGAATTTGCACCATCAGAACCTAGTCAGTAAACAACGTAGTGACCTCCACCATAAGGGGGTGGCATAGGTAGAGGTTGGGGCAGGTGCCAGACAAGACATGGCCGACCCATGCCTGCCATTGCCAAGGTAGATCGAAGCTGCCCAAGTCTCTGCAATTCGAAGCTGTGCAGCGTGGCGCTTGACGAGCAACTGCACAAGGGAGGGTTTGAGCCCAGTTGCATTTCTAGCTGACAGACTGCCACTCCGTCAGCAGTTAGCAGCTAGCAGAAAGTGACGCTGACCGCTGCAACCTGTCATCCTGATCAGGCCTCCTGATGCAGAGGCAGGTAATCCATTGGCTTAATTTGTGCGATGTGCCCAGGGGTCACACTGCTGCGCTTCTTTCATCGGACGGTTTTCAAGAAGTCCTGCTAGTAGTCCTTCCTTGCGCAAAAAAGTCCCTGACTGCAGGTCGAGGCACGGGACAACCGCCAATCGCTGGAGAAGACAGGCCTGCACAGCCCGGAAAGGAGCAGTCCAGAGGTCGGTTGGACAGTTGGTGTAGCTTTGACATTGCTTATACCGACAAGTTGAAATCAAAGTTGTGTCAGAGCATCCAAAGCCGTATGCACCCTCGCAGGTTACTGGATAGTGTGTCACTTGTCTTCTGTTGCTTTCGACAGGCCTTTCAACCGCGCAACAGGGCTCCGTGCCTGAATCCGGGAGGGCAGCTTGCCGTGGGGGTGTGGATGTTGCATAAGGAGCCGGTAGGCATTCCCGTTGTCGTATCGATGTGCCGCCACAGGGAGAGTCGGAAGATCTTGGAATCAGTCGAGCTGATGTTGGTGCCCGTAGGGCCCGCATTGAAGGCATGCTGATCATGGGGATATCATTCCAAGGCGCCCTCGAGGTCGACCGGGCCTATGTCGCCCGACAGCTGGCTCAGCAGGCACCGGCCTCTGCGTGGTCACGGGCGGACCAGGGTGGAGGAAGTTAGCTGTGTGTTTCGTCTTGCCTGGTGCTCCGAGCAGTCTAGGGCATAGGCTCTCAGGCTCGCCCAGAGGCCTGGCTGGGCCCCAGCTCTGCAGGTGGAGGCAACGAACAAAGAGGCTTCAATGCAGAGACAGGCAGCTGCCGTTGTCGGAGGGCCCAGAAACAAAGAGGCTGCATTTCGTCATGTCCAAGGTAGCTTTTAGTGTGCATGACCTGTTTGATAGAGCAGTTTGGCTTTCGAAGGATTTGAAGGGCATCAGCTCACCTCATGCTCGCCATGAGGTGCAGCTGGTGATTGTCAAGATGGGTTCGCTGTGGATCCGTCTGGGCCACGAAGCACTTTGATACTTGCCTGACTGCCCAAGGCTGATCGCTGGTGGTCCTCGATCTTCTTGCCCGTCCCGGCTCCACGGCAGCTGCTGCCCGAAGCCTTGGCGAACAGCCCAGAGATCTGTTACAGTAGCTCTAGTTTGCAGTCCATTGTTAACCGGTGCACCAATCGTAGCGCCATTAGCAGTTTTCCGGAGCTTGGGAAGCGAATCAAACGGTAGTAGACTTTCGCTATCCGGCTAACTTGACGCGCTACATGATAACAGATGTCAACACGAAGTGTAGTGCTAGCACCAAATACTTCTCACGGAAGCCGTGGCTCCTTCGTGTACTCTGAGGTTGGCCAAGAGGGCTTGGCCTGGGCCTCTGCCTGTATGCTTATACAGCATACAGCATACAGCATACGTGAAGGATTGCATTTCGCACATCTGCTGCAGTAGGCGTGCTTGCCCCCCGCCGGTATTGGAATGAGCCGATGCGTATGTGTATTCAGCAGGCCAGTGTGTAAAATGAAGGTCAACGAGGTCAACGATCCCGCGAAGCCGGTGACTTTCAAAGCCAAGGCGTGTCACTCGCAGAAGCAGTGTATCGGTTCTTGCTGCTGCCTGCTGCGGGACCACTGGTGGCAGGAGCAGCAGCTCTAAGCATGTCAAACATATCCTTTTTCCAAACAGCTGGCCTTCTTTTTACTGGTCAGTCACTTCGAAGGTAAAGCTGGCACCAGAGGAGATCGAGGAGATCGTGCGGCTTTGCCGTCTCTTCGCCGGTTTGACCCAACCAGAAACTGTGGAGGCCTTCCTGCCAAGCGGGTAGAGAGCAGGGGTGCCGTACCTTGCGGGGTGCAGACAAAGTCTCCGGTCCATCCACCAAGTCGCTGAGAAGGCCCGAAGGCCTACGGGTCGTTGCAGACAGGCCCAAGACCTTTGAGGAAGTAGATTGCCTAGATTTGCCTGGTGTGTGGTGTTCAGACACTTGAGGGAGCTATGTTTCGCGTGGAAGCGTGCCTCTCATGTGCGAGGTGGCAAAGGGGGACTCTGGCAGCGAGGTGAACGAACTGGTCTTAAACAGGCCGTCGTCAGACCCTTGTGATTCGCGGGTAGCGATGTCAGCGAATTGCAAGGCCTTCATTCTGCCAACTTCTGCTCGCGCTGGGGATCTCCCCGCGGGCTCAAAACCTCGTGTTCAGAGCTCGGCAGTACGCGTATGGCAAGGTCTTCGTGAGATGGCTGGGGTTGCCTGCCAAGGCCAAGATATCATCGAGTCGTGAATTGCTTCGACGCACAGGCAGGTTTCAGAGCCTTAGGGCCTTAGAGTTTTTTCACACTTTGACAGGCCTCCTTCCCTCCCGACTCTTGCGGGAGCTGCTTCACTAAGCAATCTGCCGGCTGAGTTGCCTTTGGTTGTTTGTTGCAACCGGGCTGCAACCTCAGCCTCAGCCTGAGTTTTTCTTTCGGGCTTGCCGCCTAATTCGGCACGTGTGTTCATTCTTGCAAACATGCAGAGCCACAACCGTGGCCGCCCCCACACCCCCAGCAAACCAGCAGACGTGATACCCAGAAAAGGGAATTGGGTGGACTCGGCCGCACCTGTTTGAGAATTTTAGAGTCAGCAGTGAGAACAGTTCGGACCATGTCGTAAGCCTGAGGTCAGGATTAGGCAGCCTACCCGGAATGCAGCGACACATCTGACCTTTGTATGGCCGTGGGCATGCAGAACAAATGGCCTTAGCACGTACTGTTCAGGCCAAGCAGTGCCTGGTCAGTGGCCTGCCGGTGTCTGGTGGCATGATCTCTGGGCTAGCGTCAGGTTCTG